GGGGGGTGGGGGCGGTGGTGTTGGGAGGCAAGAGGCTGTGACTTACTTTTCCAGAGGTACTAAGGTCATGGTGGGGTAATCCCTGTCCCCACCTCACTCCTTGCTGGCTTCATGGGTAAGATCCGGAAGGCCCAAGGGTGGGTGGGGCGGACTGTCTAACCTACTAGGAAGGATTTCTAGCTGCTGCCAGCTCCAGGAGCTGAGACCACATTAGCCAGTCCGCTGTTCCCCCTCCCCGCCTTGTAAGGCCGAGGAATCCCATCCTGGGAGTCTCTGGTGCAGTGTGGAAGGAGGGTGATACAGAATTGAAAACTTGAGAATGATTCCGTTCCATGTTACTTGACATGGAAATCAAGGCGTTCAAGAGCATTCCCTTTCGCTTACTCCCTTTTCCTGGCTTGGCATCCTTTTACTGCTCAGGACCATTGGAATCTCAATTATGTGGTTTCTGCCAACAGCCTCACACGTCTGACCCTCTATGCTTGGTCTTCTTCACACTCTTTACCCACCCCAGCCTGAGTTTCTGGAGTTCCTCCAAACTCTATTCTTGACCCTCCTTCTCTCAATCCACACAGTCCTCTTGGTCAATCTCGCCCACTTTTGTTGTATCAGCTACTACCTCTCAGTGATCCTCAACAGGTGTGCAAAGGGAGGAGGAGAAGCCTATGGAGTCACGTGGGATCACCTAGTGGGGAGGGCTTTCCAACTGGTGACACCACCATTCACCTAGTCATCCACAGAGGAAACCAGAAGTCATCCTTGATAATTTCTTCTCCATCCTTCCAACATTCAATCAATCTCTAGGTCCTGAAAATTCTACTTCTTCACTACCTCTCCAGTTCATCTCCTCTCCATTCTTACCCTTCCTCCCCAGTTCAGTTCCTAATCACTTCGGGTGGCTGGATCATAGTGATTCTCCTTTCTCTGGAAACTGACATTCTGAGGGTGGCCCTGAAAGTCAGCAGAGAAAGGAATTTCTTCCTCTCTGATTCTTGGGAAGCAATTAAGGTTTGATTCAGATGATCAAGATCTTGGAGTAAAAGTGAATTGAAGACAAGGAGATCTGGGGAGAGCTTTGTGGCTGGACCTCTTTGGGTGAACCTGGAAACTGAAAATCCACATCACAAACAGGTTTACCAGAAGGCTCCCTGCAAAAGAGACTTTTCACAAGCCATAGACAGGGACCAAGGGGCTGTCTAGAGCTCATGAAACAAAGCAGACAGAGAAGCAGGAATAGAGACTATGCCTGGGTGGAACAGCATGGACTTCCCTTCATCAAGGCCAATGTAGCTCCGCTACTGCCCAATGAGCTGGCAATGGTGAAACCCTGAGCCCCTCATACAGTACCAGACCTCAAGCCAACCATCCAGTTCTCTGGTGGCAGGTCAATGGAAGGGACACAGAATTGTCCTCACTGGAATAGGCACTTTTTCAGGAATTGGGTTTGCATTCCCTGCCAACACCACCATCTATGGACTCATGGGATGTCTTCTAGGCAACTATGGTGTCCTAGACCAGGCTAGCTCCAACCAAAAAGCTCTTCCCAGCAAAAGAAGTAAGGCATTAAATGCAGTGTGGGTCCTGTAACAGAAAAACGGCGTTAGTGAAAAAGCTAGGAAAATCCAAATAAAGTCTGGAGTTCAGTTAACAGTGTTACACAAATGCTAATTTTTAATTTTAAAAGTACCATGGTTATGAAGATGTTAACATTAGGGGAACCTGGGTTAAGGGAACTCTCAGTACTAACTTTGCAACTCCTCTGTAAATCTAAAATTCTTCAAAATAAAACTACCAAAGAAACAAAAAGAAATAAGGTTGGGGCTAACGTCAACAGGATTTGCTGATCTCACCATGTGTCTGTTATCTAGAAGCAAGTGGCTTTACAGAGTGATAGGCTGTTCTAGTAAAGACTCAGGGTGGTGCCAGGTAGGTGGACACTACTTTGCAAAGACTAAGTGATGTCAGAAAGGTTGCTGGCTGTGCTGTGAATGGAACCAGAAACAACTTACAGTGTTTTCCCTTCATGGCTAAAACACTCGATGATCTCTAGGCTAGAGGAGGGAAAGGATGGCTCAGATGGCATCAATGACCCACTCTCAGAATGATCATTCTTGTCCTCCTAATCAACAGTGTGAAGGTCTGGGCATGCAAGAAAGGAATGCTACCCGCTGGGCACAGTGGCACACACCTGTAATCCCAGCACTTTGGGAGGCCAAGGCAGTCAGATCACCTGAAATCGGGAGTTCGAGACCAGCCTGACCAACATGGAGAAACCCCATCTCTACTAAAAATATAAAATTAGCTGGGCATAGTGGTGCATGCCTGTTATCCCAACTACTTGGGAAGACTGAGGCAGGAGAATCACTTGAACCCAGGAGGTGGAGGTTGCAGTGAGCCAAGATCAGGCCATTGTACACCAGCCTGGGCACAAGAGCAAAACTCTGTCTCAGAAAAAAAGAAAAAGAAAGAAAGAAAGAAGGAAGGAAGGAAGGAAGCAAGGAAGGAAGCAAGGAAGGAAGGAAAGAAAAAGAAAGAAAGAGAGAAAGAAAGAAAGAGAAAGAAAGAAAGAAAGAAAGAGAATGAAAGAAAGAAAGAAAGAGAAAGAGAAAGAGAGAGAAGGAGGGAGGGAGGGAAGGAAGGAAGCCACAGGGCACAATGTCATAATCCCTTTATAAGCTGAGATTTCTACCCTGCCATTTGAGGCTCCCTATGGCATTAGGAAGAGACAGAAAAGGGGGTCAGAGTGTCAGGCTGATGACTGACCCTGAGACTCAGGGAGTCCTGTGATTGTTACCACACCCTGTGGTGGCCAGGAAAGGTACAGGAGGAACCAGAGAACACCTGGGGCACATTGTGCCCTGTGGAACGGTGGGCTGAAGAAACTGCTACTCTAATCAGAGTCCCACCAAGGGTTCAAGAGCCTCAGGAACAGAGATTAGAGTTGCCGCTCTGGATCCAGAACCCCAACCAGTGAGAGCCTGCCTGAAGACAGGAGAATAAGGACTGGGCAAGTGGAAGAAGGAAGCTGTAGCCACATGGCTGATGGCCGCATGACTGGCACTCCCATCTTTTTTTCCTTCCTTACTGTTGGAGCCCTATGGAATATTTACCTTTCCCTGTTTTTTTGAAGGAAGAATTACTGTCTTTAATGTTTTCTCTTTCTCATTCCTCATCTTTTCCTTCTCTTGAGCAGACTATATGGAGAGTGGTTGAATTGACACCAGCTTGCAGAATGGTGAGATGGAGTCAGGATGGAATTGGGAATTGGAGATCCTGGATTTTGACCACAGAGGCGCTGTGACCTCACCCTTGGCATTTGGGCTGTGACCAGCTGGGGAAGGGAGGCTGTGGCTGTAGTATGTAGGATGACTATTAGATTAGGTTTATTTTCAGAGACTTGCTTTCATTTCTATCTAGTAAACCCTACAAGCCAGAAACTTGGATGCCATCCTTGACAACTCATTCTCCTTCACTCATAACTCAAAGAAATGTCAAGATCTGAAAACTTTATTTCCCAAAGAACTCATCAACTTACCTACTGCCCCCAAGACTTACGGCCACTGCCCTAATTCAGGTCTTCCTCACCTCACCCCTGATGGAACAATCACCTCCTTAATTGCCTCTCTGCCTTCACTCTTTCCCTGTTCAATCTTGTCAAAAGCAAATTTCCAGCCAGGCTTTGTAGCTCACGCCTATAATCTCAGCACTTTGGGAGACCGAGGCAGGAGGATTGCTTGAGGCCAGGAGTTCAAGATCAGCCTGTGCAATATAGTGAGACCCTGTCGCTACAAAAAAATTTAAAAATTAGCCAAGCGTAGTGGCACACACCTGTAGTCCCAGCTACGTGGGAGGCTGGGGTGGGAGGATTGCTTGAGCCCAGGAGGCAGAGGCTGCAGTGAGCCATGATTGTGCCCCTGCACTCCAACCTGGGCGACAGAGAAAGACTTTGTCACCCTCCCCACCAGAAAAGCAAATTTCCTTCTAACATTACCAAGTCACTCCCAGCAAATAAGTTTGTTTAGTTCAGCAAGCCAGACCTCACTAGTCACCTCCAAGCCCTCTCTAGCACAGATCCTAAGGATCTAGACCTCTTGACATCCCCACTCCAACCTGATTGGTGCTCCCATTCAAACCATGGTCCTTTCTCATATCATGCCTCTGTTTATACTGGCCCACCAGAAGTGCCATCCATCCACCCATTGACAACTTAACCCTTTAGAACTCAGCTCGAGATATCACCTCCTTCTAAAGGCCTTTCCTGTCTTTCTTCCAAGGACTCAACGCACCTCTTCAGCAAGATTAGGTAGCCCTCCAATGGGATTCCATCATATCCCTCGCAGACCTCTCTGATGTTGCACTGAGCTCATTGTATCATGAGTGCTGGTTTGTCTGCAGCTCCTTCAGTCCTTTCCATGCTGGCAAGGCCCAGGAATTGGTCTCATCCATCACTACATTCCCAGTCCTTAGCAGGATCCAGCCTCCCTTCTGCTAACCAGAATCTGCTTAAATACCTTCCTAGGCTTCCTATTGCCCTTAGGATGAAGAACAAAGTTCCTGAGTTCACCGAAAGGTCCTTCAAGACTTGACCCCAATCTCCTTCTCTAGCCTCATGCTTTTCCAGCCCCCATTCTGCGCCCCTCGACGGCATTTACATTGACATGGCTCATTGCCCTGAATGTCTTTCTGCTGTGTGTTCCTACACGGCCCTTGACTCTCCCCATTGTAGCATTTATGGACTTAATTGTAAATTGTTTCATGTCTTCTCCACCAAATTCCATGAAAATAGGAGCCATGTTCGTCTTGCTCACTCTTCCATCCATAGTGCCCAGCACTAATAGACTACTCGACAATATTAAATAAATCATGAAATCATAACTTCACAAACTCCTGTTGTCATCAGGCCATCTGGGGTGATCTAAATGACTAGGAACAGGATCACAGGGTAGGACATGATATGGGGGGACAGGACCGCCCCCAACCCAAACTAATCTGGCGTGGAAATGCTTTTTTCCTAGGAAGAGAGTGGAGGGAAAAGACGGAGGGGTTCTAAGGTGGTGTAAATGCTTCCTAAGGACTGCCCTCTGGGGTCTCGTGGTATCGTAGGCTCCTCACACCCCACCACCCCTGGGGCCAACTGCTTGGCCAGCCACACTGTCCTCAGAGTGTTCCAGCAAAGTCAGCAGAGACCCAGCAGATGGAGGAAATAATGGGAGAAAAGAGTGGAAAGTGGGAGTGGGGAATGGGTTCACAATGCATTTGTTCAGGGATCTTTACTCATTCTGTGATGAAGAGAAGGTGACACTTCATTGGCTCACTGGGGGTCTAGGAGACTTGGGCTTGGCTGAAGAGGGACAGACACTCAGGGCGGGGCTCCGTGCCATCAGCTTATCAGACAGCCGCCTTTCTCTTTGAAGGGATTCTTGTCCTCAGGGATCCCTTTGAGAAAAGGGTCGTTTCCTGCTTGGGCCTCCACATACTCCTTGATTTCCTTTCCCGCTTTGGAAATCTGTGAGAACACAAAAAATGTTTTAGGTCCTTGCTACTTTCTCTGGATCCATGATTTGGTCAGTGCTGGAAAAACAGGCTTCTGGGCAGGGCAGAGACAGAGGCCAAAGAGGAGAAAGACACAGGGGACAGACAGGTGTTTGGGGGTGTGAGTTCCTCGATCTGACCCACAACACTGACCCTGACCTTCATGGACTGCTTGGTCAGAGCCAGCCCAGATGCAGGGCTGGACACACTGAGCTCTCCAAGGCCCTGAGGCTCTCTCTTGTGCTGAGGGAGGCTGGCACCTTCACAGAGTCAACCCCAGCCTGTCTCTGCATCCTATCCCATCCCAGAGGTACCTCCTGCTGCTTCTGCGGCCCTGGAACAGTCCCACCACCCTTTCTGGTCACTTCCTCCTTCCTGGGGCTCATCAGGAACAGGAAGGGAAGAGCAGGGATGGGGCGAGGAGGCTCACCGGAATTCTTGTGTTTTTCACTTCCTTCTTTAGCTGCTCCACCTCCATCTTCAACAGATCCTTCTCGCTGAGATCCTGGGCCATCCTGCCCTAGACAGACCTGATCCTGGAAAGGATTCAGCAGCCAGGATCATAAATCTCATCAGCTCTCCCAGCTCCCTCCACACCTCAACTTCTAGCATCTCCCCTGCCATATCCCTCAGTTCAGGCCCCTCATCATTCAACAGATATTCACTCCATCCTTGCACGCCCTGCCTCTTCGAGAGCCTGGTCTCAGGAGGGGAGGAAGCTCCCAGTCTGATGGGAAAGGGACAATTTTTGCCTTTGGATTGACTGTCTACGGAGGAAATCTGGATTATCTGTCTACAGAGCCATCTGTCTGTCTGTCTACAGAGGAAACAGAGAAGAAAGAAGAAGGAGTTTCTTTCGGAGAGGAAGATCTGGGAAGCAATATTATTGTTTCATATAGTGACTCAGAGTTTTCCTCTTTCTCTACAAGTCCAGCACGAGAGAGTATACAATAATGTTCAAGAGAAGGGGGTCTTGGCCAGGCATGGTGGCTCACCCCTATAATTCCAGCACTTTGGGAGGCCGAGGTGGGAGGATCGCTTGAGCCCAGGAGTTCAAGATCAGCCTGGCCAACATGACGAAACCTCGTCTCTACAAAAGATAGAAAAATTAGCCAGGGTTGGTGGTGAGTGCCTGTAATCGCAGCTACTCAGAAGTCTGAGGTACGAGAATCGCTTGAACCCGGGAGGCGAAGGTTGCAGTGAGCTGAGATCATGCCACTGCACTCCAGCCTGGGTGACAGAGTGCAACTGTCTCAAAAAATAAAAAAAGATCCCGGGTGCAGTGTCTCGTGCCTGTAATCCCAGCACTTTGGGAGGCCAAGACAGGCAGATCACCTGAGGTCGAAGGTTTGACACCAGCCTCGCCAACATGGTGAAACCCCATCTCTACTAAAAACACAACAAATAGGCAAGCGTGGTGGCGGGCACCTGTAATCCCAGCTACTCAGGAGGCTGAGGCAGGAGAATT